ARSMARRARRAAAAAAACGACCCCTAACGACGTTAGGCAAATTGGCAACGAAACGTAGTCGGTAGACTGGTTTTCATTAACCCGTGAAATACACTTTAGCGTATTACACTTTATTACACTTTGTCTCTTTTGTTTTCTATTATATTTATTGGCTATTACACTTTATTACACTTTGACTATTACACTTTGTTTCACGGGTTAATGAGAAGCAGTATATCAATTATGTTATTAAAAAATGATTCTGAAAATTTTATTACAATCTCTGCGATGAGTTTTGAGAAAATTAACTTTGAAGAAAAATGAAGGTGTTTTTATTTTGAATCGTTTATCCAAATGGCTTCGCTTTTTGGCAAATTAATTTAACTACAAAAATTATCGATAATCACTGTTACTTCTGTGAAAATTTGAGTGCAATGGAATCGAAATTTGCGACGTAGTTGGAGTTTAAAAATACGCGCGAAGCGCTATTTATTACGATCGAAACAGGATAGTTTGCGTACCATTTCTTTTATTTATAAGTGCGCCTTCTTTGTTGGTGTTGTTCGCYTTAATTTAGGAGCTAATGTGTAGTGTAAGTAAGTAAAAAGGTAAGCGAGGAACTACGCGACTTAATGACTGACAGATTATTCAGTATTTTCCTTCACGACTGTGTTTTATACTTCCGTTCCGATTGCGCGTTACATATATTTTAAGCGCTGCATTAGACAAGTTTGTCCAGATTCAAGAAATTCTAGTTTCAGAGTACGTTTGCTCTTTATCTCTGTTATAATGGTATCCTATGGAATCCATATGTAAGGCATGGTGGTTTGGGCAAACGCCATAATTCCAGGATTTTACTCCAATTCGGATAATGTTGCAAACTTTTGCACTGTAACACGTGTACAATTTGCTGCTGTAGCTTTGGCGGAATGATCTTTAACGCCTTTAAAAAGAAGCAGAAAAGAAAAATCAACTATACATGCATTTTTACGTGAATGAAATTCCAGGTTGAGGAAGTATTGATTAACGTTCCTGCTCGGTGAACTGATGTAGAAGACATCATACTG